CAACAAAAAAAAATACGCATATTTTTTAATAACTCACCAAAGTTTGACATGATGAGTCAGCACAAATGATTTATTCACGAATACTTTTCAAACAGTGCTTATTTCTCCTTTTTTGAATATTGTGTTTAAAATGTCTGTGAAAATATAGGGGTCTTACTCTACAACCCAAAGACCTTCCAGGGTAATTATGTTAGGCTCACACCGAGAAAAAAGTTCTAAACTTTTCAGGAACATCTTGGGCGACTGTATCATCTTCGTTTGACTGCTTTTTTATATAACTTTCTTCAATACATCTTATCGGCCAGTTTCGATCTCTGTGCGCATGTCGGATGTTCCTTCAATGCAGTACCATTTTCAAATATTGAAGGGTCAGACGAATGAACCTTGACATAAATAACTATGAAGACGGAAATAATAAGCAAAGAGGATTTTTTTATAATTAGGACTAATAATTTTAGGATTATCAATATACAGCTGTACCAAGTATATCCTCACTAGACCAAAGCTCAATATTAATAAAAATCGTTTTATTTTACAATTGGCCAGCTAAAAGATTTCGATTCTGATCACAGCATTTGGATTGGCTTAAAATTTTAACAATTATAATCAAGGATATTTGCTTATGGTTTGCACTTAATTCCATGGTTTCAATATCAGAAGCATATGGTATGAAGTGTCGGACCGCAGCTTTTGAAAGTAACCTTGAAATCTACAATAGAATACGGTGATATATATATATATATATATATATATATATATATATATATATCATAATGCCGGGATGCCTCAGAAAATAAAACCTGCTATGAGCTGAAACTCTAAACATAGAATTGTAATGATGTTTGTTCAGTTCGTAGAATTTCCTTATTCCAAGGAATTTTCATAGCAAAACGTGAAATTGCTCATTTTAAGATAGCGGTAGGAATAATAGAATTAAGGTATGAAATATTATATTATATGTGATGTGAATAAGCTTGCTGTTCCACTGGTATTAATCCCTATAGTATCTTCTCCACTCATCAAACCAATATACTTTGTTTTACGCAAAAAGCTGATTTTGATAGTTTATAACACAAATCATACCCTCACCTGCAATCCAGATGGTAATGGTGACAGCGTCGCGTCGAAACACCCACAATTGATCACAATCAGAGATCGTGACGATGTAAGCCAAATAGAGAAGCCTAGAGACTTTTGGTTAGAGTCGCGTGTCGCGTGCACGGATGTGTCAAAACCGGAGGCGGCAACGGCACTGACGGCGATGCCGACCGCCGCCGATTCACATACACTCCCCACTGCCACCCCCAGTTGACAGCGGCGGCGCGCGCGGGTGGGTGGGGCCCAATGTGAAAGTGCGTACAAGGGCGGCGCGACCGAAGCGGAGGGGATGTATTCAGCGAGATGGACAATGTAAAACATGAAACCGCGACCAACAAAAATACTTTAGGACAAGATATGTCCATTAAGATCCTTTTTTAATACAATGATTTGATTTTTATGACCTACCGCTCTTCTTTGTCTGATATTTTTCCGATAGACATAGATACGTGTCATATAAACGCTCTAAGTCGAATGCATTTTTGACGAGCTCTGGTGTGCCGTAGGGCTGCTTACTGGGGCTCTTACACATTAACTTTTTCATAGAAGACATTACTGAGAAGTTAAGTGTAAGTTGTCTATTTTACGCTGAAAATGTTAACCTCTACATTCCCTAAGCATCAAGCTCCGCAATTCTAGCAAAGTTGAGTCCCAGCTCCTTAACATTCTGAGGATCCAAAGTGTTGAATCCCAGTATAGTCTGCCTGTAGTAGCTCAGAGCCTCACATTGACACAGATCATTCACCGACAACTCTACTCCACAGCGCTCATACATAGGATCCTCAGCCACTCCCATCACATGGAGGTGGCGCCTCAACATGTTATAGCCAGACAACAGTCCCACCAACAACCTTAGGTTGGCTCCATCCAAAGATAAGCTAAAGTGTCGATCTTTAACACTGGGCCCTACGATGAGCTCCCTTGCCTGGCGGAGATGGCCAGAGACACTTCCTCATTTCTAAGAATATTGGCTAGCAATCTACTTCTCCATTTCCCTTAAATTCTTTGAGAGGGCACCCCTAGAGTTGGCTCAGAACTAACAAGCTTGCATCCTGATCCTGTTTTCACAAGAGCGTCCGCCATATCATTGCCGTTTATCCCAGCGTGCCCCGGTACCCATATTAACGATACCGGATGCCTCGCTGCTAGACTATCCAGAGCCTCCCTACATTGCAATACAAGGCAGTAATCTTGCAGGTGCTTAGTGCCTTCATCGCAGCCTGCCTATGGGAGAAGATTGTTATTCTTTACCTAGGTCCTTCCCCCTCTAAAATGCCGCGTAAAAAATAGTGGTGTATCCGCAAAATTCGAGATTTTCGTGATTGTCGGAAGCTACAACAAGATCCTGTTACATTATAAGTAGTACTGTGGTCGCTACCGCAGTCGTGGCTGCTATCATGGTCGCTGTCGCGTCCATCACTTCACTTCATATCGCTTCGCATTCCTCCGCCTCTCTTAGCGTAACTTCGCATCGCTCCGCATCGCATCGTATCGTGTTTCTTCGCTCGGATCCGCATCGATCGTAGCGCTTTGCTCCGCTTCGCGTCGCACCGCTTTGCTTCACATCGTCTCGCTTCGATTTTCAGTTTTACCTTCTAATGTTATTTTCATTTTTTTCATTTTCTAGATCCTCTTGACTTCATTCTCCACAAATACTAACGAATAAGTATTGTAATCGCGATAAAATCGAAAATGAGATATAATGGTCTATGGATGTAATGTATTTGTGACATGTTTATCACGGAAATATTGTCACTTATTTCCGACTCATTGTCCTTCTGTCGGTCTGTCTGTGTCCGATAATCCGTGCCCGTCCATAACTTTGAAAGTACTGCTCGGATTTAGATAGAACTTTTGCATAAGGTTACTGCTATGCTAAGGCCGAAAAAGCGAAGTAGTATTTCGAAATCAGTCTAGTAGTAGCGTTTTTGACGTTTTAGAGGATCGAAAAATCTTTAAGAGTAAAGCAGTTAGGAGTGGAAGCAGATGTATCGCAATTTTTTGGTGTCAGTACGTCAATACACTTCCAACCTCGGTAAATCTACGCACCTATTAGACATGGTTCAAACATCATAGATTTCCCCATACTATCGGTCGCACTTGTCATTCGCCTAGGGGTTGTAAATGTTGCATCTTTGGTAGTGGATCCGAAGGGACATAAAGGTAGGTAGCAGATATAAGTATACGAGCATTATGATTGGAGAGTAATTTAATGAGGTTACTTCATTTCTCGTATTCAATCCATCAGATATAGGTTGTTGGTTTCAGTTATAGGTCAAGTTTGGAGAACATTCATAATTCCTGTATTTTATGTAGTTTGTATATACTCGGAGTATGCCAAGATCTTTCATTATTTAAACCGTATACGTTTAACGCACAACTACGAATGGAATACCAATACTCCCATAAATCTTCTATTTCCTCGTGATATATGCACCTTTAAGGATAAACTACATATTCATTTATACATTGAATATATATGGTATATGTGCTGCTGAATGTAAGGGTAATAATCATAAATCATAATACATTACAGTATGTTTAGCTCATATAGCTAGTGCAACAACTACTTTGTGAGAAAAGTGTACAGATTGTTGTCTCTTAATAATGCTCCTTCGAAGTGTCCAACTAACGAACAAGGAAACAGACAACAGAGAAAAAAGTGTTTTTATGCATTGTCACCCAGTTGAAAGTTGTGTTCTACATCTTAAGCTCATTGGGAAGTTGCTTTAATTCAATCTAATAATCAGATAGACAGGTATAAAACAAAAAGATGTGCAGTTGAAGCATTGGAAGTGTTGAAAGACCAAACAACTATGTAATTTATGGCATTTTCTCTTATCGTAAAAGAGATCATTGCTAGGTATATTTTCTCTCCATATGTGGGGCACACCATAGTTCATCTACGCTTTCAGGGTAACAAGTACAAACCAGGACTACGAAAGATATGTTAGTATGTTGCTTAAAGGGCATTTAATTGGCGACTTTAATAGTGAGGCTAAATGGCTCAACTACATTCGTGTATGTACTAAGTAGAATTACCTATTCCGTATACTTTTCAGCATTTTTAGTTTACTTTTGAATACACTTGGTTGGCGCCTGCCACTCATAAGTGTTTAAAATCAGCGAAGTTGGCGTTTCTGGAACTACTGAAAAACAAAATATACTTAAGATTAGCCCAATAACATAGCCGTTTGAACTGTTGCCACAGGATTTATCCTGTCTGTTTTTCTAAGATATACACAAGGACAAAGCATCAAAAACTTTACAAGAGATGCTATAACATTTGTATCGAACTTTTCTTCGCAAAATTTTGACGCTGCAGATATGACGCAATCAAAAATAAGAAGGCCAGGAAGGAAGTTTGTTCTGTAATCATACCAAGTTTTCGAAAATGTTCATTTTTTTCTCCAGGAATGCTACAAAAATATTGAACCAACTACATTAAGCTTGACATGATCTTGACTTTGAGGTCAAGGTTACACTCGGATGAGAAATTTCTTACTTTTCCCATTTCCAGCATAAAAGTCAGAGGTTTCCTTTGGAAATTTGGACCTTTGGGTGATTTCCACAAACCTCAAAATTCTGCTGTTGAACATTTCAGATAAAGCAAATTGGTTCCGCTATCATCATTCGACCTTGAAATTGCCTTAAAGACAATGGTCAAAGTCATGGCCGGAGTGATGATCGATAGATCCGCGAGGTGGATCTAGTTGAAGATATTCTCTTGACCTTGAAACGACATTGATGGTCATAGTCAAGGAAATTGTCAAGGTCACCACCATTTATTCGGAACCGAACAAGTTTTGTTTGGATCTTATCTGTGATGGGTAGTTTTCCAAATATTTATGTGGAACTATGAAAATGGCACACCATGTATAATGGAATAATACCAAAGATTTATGAGTACAAATAGATACTGTATTGATGGGTACATTAAGATATACAATTTTCAAAACTTCAGTAGCGCAAAACAAAAACAAAGTATAGGTTTCTCAATATGATAACACGGGCTCATGAGTTAATCACTTGTGACCTTATTAAATAACATTTCTGGTCTTTACATTCTCCAAAAGCTGACCTCGTCTTAGCTCATGCAACATTGTATCTCCCCCTCCCCTTAGCCTATCACCAAGCTCCTGGTATTTATGATGCAACATGAGCCATCTCATTTCATAATAAGCCCACAGCTCGTGATACGAGGTAGTAGTTTCTTTCAAAATTGCATACTTGACATAATATACTTCACTTGTTTCCATTGCTACGTAATCGTAGTTCTTGCCTTGATCTAACCCAAAATCGTAACCATCTTCTAAGTGATCAAGTTCATGATCATTCATGTTGAAAACGGCTACTGTACCTGATGAAATAAAATATATATTTTCATGCGGCTTTCCTACTGAGACTATCACATCATCAGCCAGATAGGTCTCGGCTTTCATTTTTGAGATGAGAATACTGAGGACTGATGCTGGAAGTATTTTCAATATGGGATTATTTTGTACCAGTTTCATTGCAAAGTGCAAGAACATCTCCATTTTCAATCTCTCTGACAAGCTATTCATTATTTCTGCTTCTCGGAAGTAACTCTTCTGGAGCTTACATTCATAGTACTTCAGTAACCGAATCCTGATGTCTTTTGGAAGATTTTTTGCGGCCATATACTCATTCACCTCTCCTATAAACTTTTCATATCTGCTCTCTGGATGAGCGTCAGTGCCAAAGATTAAAAGTATATCAGCAAACAGGTAGAGTGTATAAAGTCTTCCAACCAATGCTACAAATGTTAGGAATATTTGTTCAGGGAAATACCTTATTCTGGATTTTAAATAAGAGACGCCAAAGAAAAAACATGCCACCAACATTTGAGATTCAAAGTAGATGTTATCAAGCTTGTACTTTCTTCCTCGAAACACGGCAGTCAACCATGATTCAGGTGGAAAATTGATTTCAGCACGGGTCGCATATTTTGTTACAAGGACATTCATTACTGTAAAACCATGCACGAGGAGGACTGTAAAGTACGTATGGTATATCACTACTCTTATTGTTCGGGAGGAAAGCAATCGCTCCAGCAATGCACAAAGAATCTTAATGTGGGAATTTGCTCTTCCTATGAGTGCTATCTGCATCAGCAATGTAAACACCATATCATCAATATGGAAATGATGGGGCGGACTTCCTACAGATATAGCCAGATCCAAAAATAGGATGATAACATCCAATACAAAATATGTTCGAAGATATCGGATCACTATCTTGCGTATATCTAAGACAATCTCATTTCTTGTATAATCTATGTATCCTCGGCAGAAAAAAGTAAGTAATATTAGTAATTCTAGAGGTTTGTGTAGCATTCTTATTATGACCATCTGTAGTGGCCATTGGCGAATGTCTACTAAAACGTACAATGGCAGCATCATGTATGTTCCTAACCAAGTGCCGAAAAACAACCAGTCCAAAATATCTGACACCTTACTCATAGGGTGGATAACTAACCTGAAACAGAATAAATGCCACAATCAATCTCAATTGACCCAAAGCTGGGGTAATACACTGATATTAGGAAAAATGTTATTTAGGAGATTAGTTCCAGAAGTTTCCCCAATATCTGACATGCTCTCTCCCCTAATTTTCTAGGACTAGGTACCAAATACACGTTCACTCATGGTTCTATCATGGTTAACATTTTGCAAAAAATATTACTTCCCGCAAATTATATTTAACAATGTATGCACAAATACAGAGGTATTGTCGTCGCAAGTATGTAAGAATCGAGAAAAAAGCATACTGATAAATAATAGCTACAATCCAATGATAGCCTCGAGAATCGGAGGCAATTTTGAATCGGTTCAACATCTATTCTAGCATCAGCTCTTGAGTCATGCCAATTCGGAGGGTGTGCCACAGGGTACTATACTGGGACTGATTAACTTTTTGAACTGACGTGATTTATTTCTTGACACCGAGAAAACGGAAGTAGTAGTCACAAAAACCAACGCAAGTTAGATCAATTTTGTATAATTGTCAATAGTTTAGTATTACAGAGCCAAAAAAATACAAAATTCCTCGCAGTCTTCGTTGATATCGATTTAAGAACTGTTTTAAAGTGTCCTGATTTATTGAATATATACGTATATTATGGGATCTTTGACTGTAGACTTCGTCATGGCAGTTGCTTGTAAGGTGGCTTATCCCACGAAAATGAAATGTTTGTATTTCAGAAGATCATAAAAAGTTTAGCAATTATTGGATTTTCCAATACGGACTTGACTATTTTGAACGTTCACTGTGAACGCACCTTTAAATCAATTCCGAACTGTCAATGTCAAAACATTCAGAAATGAAAACATTTTCATCGTGGTGGAGTACACGAACCAACAACGCTTACAAATAATTAAAATTTACTGCCGAAATTCCGAGTCGGTGACTGCAACTTTAAGAGTGTTAACGCCAATTTTTGGTCGTAATTCTCGTCCCAGTAGACAAGCAATTCATAATCTATTAAAAAAATTTGAGTCCACGTATTCGCTGCTAGAAGTTCCGTGCCAGTGAGACAATGGGTTGGTCGAAGTGCTGACAATATTGCTGCCGTTCAAGCTTCCGTCGCAAATGAACAGAACACGTCGATTCCATGGCGTTGTCAAGAATTGGGCATGGGTGAGACCACACTATGGCGAATTTTGAAGAGATCTTGGCCTACACCCTTATAAGATCAAGTTAACTCGAGAATTAAAGCCGATCAATCATATGAACCGACGTACGTTCTCGAATTGGGCTCAAGAAATGTTGCATGAAAAGGACCAATTTTATCACAAAATCATCTTTAGTGATGAGGCGCATTTTTGGTTAAACGGCTTCATCAACAAATAGAATATGCGTTATTAGTCAAGCGAAAACCATCATGTGCTTCAAGAAACACCACTTCATCCACAAAAAATAACTATGGTGTGGTTTTCATGACGGTGGCGTCATTGAGCGGTTTTTTTCGTTGATCAAAATGACCGTCTCGTTACAGTCAACGGAAATCGCTACAAAGACATGTTGCAATGCTATTTTTTTGGTCAACTGAATGGACTAGACATGTGTTTCAAGACAAGCCACACAGCGGGTCAATCAATCGACATATTGAAATCAAAATTCGAGAAATAGTCCTGTCGAATGTCCGCCTAGATCGTGTGATTTAACACCTCTAGACTTTTTTGTGGGGCTACATTAAATCATCGGTCTATGGCAACAAGCCGATGTCATTAGAGGAGCTCAGAGACAATACTGAACAAGAGATAGCGGCCGTTTCTGTCGCAATGTCTGGCCGAGCCGTTGAAAATTGGGTTCATCGAATCGATTGCTGAGAACGCGCCCCTGGTGGAAATATGAACGGGGTCGAATTCCATACATAAATGTTAGTTAATAATAGAATTTTCGAGATATCTCAAATGGTTTGCGTTTTGTTTAAAAATAAAGTTGTAAAGTTCTTGATGGAAAATCCTTTATATGTAACCACCCATCGAGCAGAGAAATTTTGGAGAGGTAACAGTGACTACCGTATGTACATTGGAATATGCATGCTTTTTTTGTAAACAGTGATATATTCACACCTACCATACCAAAATAAAAAATCAATTACATTTGCCTGTTTTCAACTATAAATGCTTCCAGGTCTCACCAAATTACTTAGGATTAAACATTTCCAACATAGTCGACTAGATAAGATAAAGTCAGAGGCAAATTTGGAGTCCTTCAAACAAAATTTGAGGAGGTTTTTGATTGATCTGGCTTAATACAGTGTTGAATAGTTTTTCATTGTAGACATTTTTAATGTTTTAAGTACGGAAAATTTGTTTTATTACATTATGTTTCATTTCTGTCTTATAGCACCGTGAAATCGCGTGAAGCCAACCTTACAATGTTAAACTGGCACGTGCAAACCTAGCTTAGGATTCCTGCTTCCAAAGACTCCCAGCCTCTCCAAAGCGACAAGAGGCCATGAGTCTATCTGTAGTTTGGATGTACCAGTCACGATACCCTCAATACCTAGGCGTATGGCTAGACAAGGACGGAAAAATTAACGAATGAACACAAAGCGCACAGTGGAAAAAGTTAGTATAGTCATTGCTTCCTTAACTCGGCTGATGCTAGCTAATGGTGGCCCAAGTAGTGGGACACTGAAGATTCTGGTTGGTTGGCATTAAAAAACAGAAAAAAATTGGCAACTGATGCTCAAATGCCAGCGACAGGCAGTAAGTACTACGCGGGATCTGGGCCTATAGAATGATGGCGCTGTTGGTGGCTGATGAAAGATGTGCACTCTAAAAGAAAGGTGCAGGAGCTAGAAATGATGAAGGGGAAGCGCTATATACGATGCGGCAGCGAAAATGGGACACGAACAGCCAAGGAGCGTGGACTCTTAATAATAAAAATAATAGTTTAAAAAACTAGAAAAATACGCTTTTATAGCTAAACGAACTAAAAAGTAGAAAATAATTTTTAATTACAAAGAGTTTATATATTACAGTAGTCGTAGATGGTCGAACAATCAATCATAATTAATGACCTCAAAATGAAATTGTAATAAAATTTAAGGTATTAACAGAATAATTCAATTCATTCATTATTGGCAACTATCTAAGAGAGGAGAGTTATGAACATGTAGTAAAATGCACCCCACACTTTTTACTCTGAATTGAATTATTCTGTTAATAACTTAAATTTTATTTTGAGGTCATTAGTTATGATTGATTACTGTAATATAAGCTCTTTGTCATAAAAAATTTTTTTCTACTTTTTAGTTCGGTTAGCTATAAAAGCGTGTTTTTTAGTTTTTTTAAACTATTATTTATTTCTAATTTATTAGTTCTATTTATCAATTAGTCATGTGTTATTGAAATGTCTTACGAATCATTTTGTAATCTAATCACTTCATTTAAAGCTTCACTGTTGCATGGGGTTTTGTCCTGTTAACGAGCAGACAAGTTCTTCAATTCGAATAACGTCAAAGATCTTACACGACTAGGTACTACTCGTACATAAGCTTGTCAAGCGGCAACCAGTCGCGAATCTAGATAAATGACAGCATGATCGACTGTACAACCGTACATCATGTGGACGGTCGAAGCCCAACTCAGGATTAATGACAGCATTAGCAATGAACAAGGTGACAATACACTACCTTGACAAAATATCTACCTCCGCTGTGCTGTGCCGAATGCCCGAATCAACAAAGAGTAAGCCTGACATTGCACGCATGCGCAGTTCGCGCACTAGCTCTATCTAATCCCCTACAGAGGATATATAAAAGAATTTATCAAGCCTGGCGGTCCTAATAAAGAGAAAGGAAAATTGTTATCAAATTATTGCATTGTCATCGGTCCTTGATCCGGGTGCGAAGTTTCAATTTAATCAAACTTCTTGAAATTGGTGAAAACTATGCTCAAAGATTCCATAACATACATACATGCAGGCCAAGCTAATAAAAGAGTGTTAAAAATTCAATAAAGCCCGGGACCCACCCTTAAGAGTAGTAAGAAAAATAATTTATATACCAGTGTGCTGTCTTCAACTGTCTTTTTTGTTCTTTGAGCATTGAAAGCTTATTTCTGAAGAATTGCTTGCTGATGGTTTTCTCCGGATCCAGGAGCGTCATCCTTTTCAAGCGAACTAAAAGCTTTCTAGAGGCTGTAACATTAGGAGGAATGGGAAGTGACTCCAAAACTGTGCTTCTTTTGCTAAGGGAACATTTGTGGATACTAGTCCTCGGGGGTACAGCATCGAGGGTATCTTGAAACATATTCACTCCAGTGTGACAACTTGATGACAGTTTTACTATTGTTGTCACAAATGGTTACGATTAACTGGTTAAAGCCTTTTTGACTCTAGAATGTAGAGAAGGCTTTACTTGAGGGACTATGTTAAGCTCCAGACGCAGCGACGTTATAGGAGTCGCACAGTAACCCTCTGATACGTGACTCAGTGGACTACACAGTGCAGCAAGCTCGTAAACGTTCAATGAAATTAAAACACAGCCAGACCTGAGTTGAAATTTTTATTTAGTGCACCTCAAGATTAAACTGTATACAAGTCAAAAATCTAGGTGTTTCCTTTTCATCTGATACATTTATCTTTTCTTTGCTTTTCTCCTTTGTTTCTTTCTTTTCTTCTATTTATTTCTTTATCGTTGACTGGTTTCTGGATAAACAGGTCTGACTTAGACAGTGACCAATGGGTAAAGATCCTGCGGACCCCCCAGACCAACGAATTAGAATAGATTTTAATTATATGTTTACATTGCATTTTGTAATTTGAGTACATACTTCTGACTAATTTTCCTACCATCACCTACCAAAGTAACAAGCCAATGCACTGATGTACAATATTTTCTCTGGAAAGGATATTCAGTGAGTGTACCACGTAGCTCAAGGCAGAAATACTATCTGCGCTGCTATGTGAATCACTCAGTTGTTTTTAATGAACAGAGACAAATTAAATAAGGTAAAGACACTAAAGTAAATATTTATTAGCGGTACATATGAACAATTCTGCTTAGTTCGTGATTTTGAAAGCTAAACAATACGAAATATTCTCTCCATCAGACAGCAGCAATGGCGGAGTACCTGATATTGGGAATCGTCTTCATCTGGATGGGTTTTCGCGTTTTTTTTTTATTCTTAGAGGGGCTTTGTCTTTTTCGGTACTATGGACGAGCAAGACACATCTGGTACATCTCAACATTTTACGGAGCCTTAGACTATTTGCATATGGATGTGATAATGAAAAGAACAAATAAACGAATATCTCCTGGAAGACAGATGAATCAAATACTATATATCGCCATTGTACTGAAGAGAACAGACAAGCCGACGTCGAGTCCAGAAACAAATATAACGAAGCGGTTCGCAATGCCAAAAACCAGCATGATATGAAAGTTAGGCACAGGGTAATGTCGCAGCGCAATGGCAGTCGGTCTTTCTGGACGCTGGCCAAGCAGATTGAAAAGAACTTCTCACATAGTAGCCTTCCACCACTTACGTGTCAGGATGGAACTATTGTATTCGACTCAAAGGCCAAGGCGGAAGTGCTAGCCAAAATCTTTGCTGCCAACTCCACCATGGACGTCTCCACCAACGCCCAAGTGCCGTCAATTCAAAGGGTTCCCCATACTATGCGGGAGGTAAAATTCAGGCATAAGACCGTAAGACGAGTGCTCTTGTCGCTCGACATCAACAAAGCTTCTGGTCCGGACTTGATTCCTGCCATTGTACTGAAGAGATGTGTGCTGCGGAGCTTGCTCCAATTCTTTCGCGTCTCTTCCAGATATCTTATGAATCCGGCACCTTCCCAGAAAACTGGAAATTTGCTCATGTACAGCCCATCCCAAAAAAAGGATCTAAAACCGACCCTTACAACTACAGGCCTATAGCTCTGCTTTCTGTTATAAGTAAAGTGATGGAGAGGTGCATAAATCGCGGGCTTCTGGACTACCTCGAACGTCACAGACTGATTAGCGACAGGCAGTACGGTTTCCGGCACCAACGATCCACAGGGGACCTCCTAGCTTACGTCACGCAACTGTGGAGTAAACTCATACAGTCTCATGGTGAGGCTCATGTCGTTGCTCTTGACATCACGAAAGCGTTCGATCAGCTGTGGCACGCTGCCCTCTTAAGCAAACTTCCATCCTATGGCCTCCCAGACAAGCTTTGCAGATGGGTGGCTGACTTTATCTCTGGCCGCAAGATATCCGTCGTAATTGACGGATTCTCCTCTTCATCCCACAACGTCAACGCGGGTGTTCCCCAGGGATCGGTCTTGGCTCCAACACTGTTTCTCTTACATATCAACGACCTACTTTCCTGCACGATCAACCCAATCCACAGCTTCGCTGATGACAGCACTCTACATGCAGGAATTCAGAGTGACAAGCCGATCTCTGCCGCTGAGCTGGAAAAAAGAAGACTAGCGACGACTTATTCTCTGACAAGAGACCTGGAGGCTATCACTGCTTGGGGACGCAACAATCTTGTACAGTTCAATGCTTCCAAAACACAGTACTGTACTTTGACGAACAAAAAGCGTCCTAGCGCTCATAGAGTTTCGATGGACGGTCGAGTTCTACCAAAGAGCCATTCATTTCGGCTGGTCGGAGTCCAGATCACCGAGGACCTGATCTGGCACGAACACATCTCTTCAATAGCTGCAGCTGCTGGGAAAAAGCTAGGCTATTTGTTTAGGGCTAAGAAGTACTTTTCTCCGCATGACCTTCTCACTCTATACAAGGCCCAGATAAGGCCTAGCCTCGAGTATTGCTCACACATTTGGTATACTGCCGCCCCGTCTACAGTGTCCATGCTCGATGCTGTCCAGAGGAGAGCGGTCCGACTGATCGATGACTCTTCTCTAACAGACAGTCTCGGGACTCTTTCGCACCGGCGGACCGTCGGCGATCTAGCTCTTTTCTATCGCTACACCAACGGGCTTTGCTCCTCAGAGCTCTCTTCCATGATGCCGCCGCGCGATGTGCCTGCCAGACAGACCCGCCTGACTTCGGCGTCCCATCCTAACCGTGTCAAACTTCGTACATCCAGAGCTGGCCGATACGACCGCTCCTTTGTCCCGAGGGTGTCTAGATTGTGGAACAATCTACGGGAGGAAGCTTTTCCCAGTTCTACTAACCTTAGGCAGTTTAAAAATCGTATTAACAAAATTTCTTTAGGATAATTATAGCAGCCGGCATTTAGGCTTCTGCCTGCGCGGCTGTTTCGATATAAAAAAAAAAAAAAAAAAATCGCCGTTGTGATTGAAGCATTTACAGTAAAAAAAGTTTCTGTCAATACATACGGTTTTATTGGCCAGACAAGCATAGGGGATTATTGACATGTAAACCACAGAATAAGTTTCGAATGTTACATTAACAATGTTTTGATTTTTTCAAAAGACTACATCCACTTGTTTGCTTCGAGTTTCGACTCTCTCCACAAATAGATATATACGACACTGATGCGTTGCTAATGAGCACAAAACGGATTTTCTGGTAGAGAAATCGCTAATCGGGTGAATCGAAGCGAAGTTACTGGAGTGAGATGTTGTCGAGAATGGTTCCAAGAAAGCCGAAATCGACGAGTTAGAGATACTGGACGTCAACGACAGACTAGAGAACGACAGGATCGTTATTTGAGGCAACTAGCACTTAGAGATCGATTTTCCACAAGGGCAGTGGTTTTATGTTATCGGAGGGGCAACAACAATGAGGACAGTTTATCGCCGAAAAAGGCCTTTTGGACTATTTTCATACCCCCTCCCCCATCTTGTACTACCTCTGACCCCACATCATCGTCGGCAACGATTGGTATGGGGTAGGCACAGACTTGAATGGAATATGGAATGGAACTCAGTCGTGTTCAGCGATGAATCCAGATTCTGTTTGGGCACACCGAACGGCATATTGATCGCACTGTGGGTGTTATGGTATGGAGTGCCATCGCAGACGGCAGCAGGTCACAATTAGTGTTCATTCGAGGTAGCATGACTACCCAGCGCTATATCCACGAAGTTTTACAACCGCATCAGCTTCCCTTTTTGGAAACATTGCAGGATCCACCTTTTCAGCAGGACAATGCACGACCTCATGTCGCACGTGTTAATTTAGACTTTTTAGAAGCGTCCGGAGTCAGTCTGCCTTAGTAACCTCCTCAATCTCCAGACCTTTCCCCCATCTAACACGGTTGCAAAATTCACCGCAACCTCCACAAACATTGGAGGATCTACGAAACCAAATTCAGATGGCCTGGGATACCATACACCAAGAAGACATCAATCACCTAATCCAATCAATGCCGCGACGACTTAATGAATGTGTAAAAAACAGAGCAGCTTCAACACATTATTAATATAAAGGTGCTACTTTGCGAAATTACGAGTTAAAATTTTAATCACTTTTTATTTATCATAAGACCTTAAGGGAAGTACTCACTTGGAGACCACGTTGCGCGATTTTCTTTAGGTGGTCTAGAGACCGTCTAGACTTGAGACATAGACATGTTGTAGAGACACCGATCTTTGCCTCGTCTAGCGTCCACACTGTGATGTGAATTTTTCTAGTTTCATCTTCGCCAACCACCATGGCGGACTATGCTTTGTGCGCAATGAGTGCCTGTTTAGTAATACTTTCTAGTAAAAAAGCGCGAAAACGTAAACGTTGGTGGACGCGCGAAGTGTTCGCAGAAGGACCTAGGTTCGGTACTGAACTAAATAAATTAAGATTGGAGGACATCATGGGTCTTCGTAATTTCACCAGGGTGATACCTTCTGACTTTGAAGAATTGCTTCAGATGGTTGGAGGAAAAATAATGAAGCAGGATACAAAATTTAGAGAAACCATCCCAGCTTCTCTTCGACTGGCAGTCACACTGCGTTACCTGGCAAGTGGAGACTCGTTCAGTAGTCTCATGTACACCTTCAGAATCTCTAAGCAGGTAATATCGAAAATGGTACCGGAAGTTTTCGAAGCGATTATCTCATTATTAAAACAACATATAAAGGTATGTATACAAAAATAATTTTATTTTGCACAAAACATGTTTATTTTAATTAGACATTTTATGAAATCAATGCGAAACATTTATAAAGTGGTATAATTCGCAACAAAATCGCGAATGTCATTGCTCATTGTATCCCTTGACTCCAATTGTTGTTCAAGTTGAACATCTCCAACTACTTCTAGACTAGCAGAAGGTGTAGAAGGATTCGAGCAACAAGTGTCTTGCAATGAAGTTGGGGGTGTGGATGAAGAACTGGAAGTGGAAGGTGGATGTGTC